CTGAGAATCGAACTCAAGACCCCCTGCTTGCCAGGCAGGCGTTGTGCCGCTGAGCTAAATCCCCAGCCCCGAGTTTAAATTTCTGAACAGGCTGCTTGGGAATTGGTTTTCACACATTGTAAAATGCTTTCCATTTTGACTTTTATGTCTTTTGCCTTTCTAAATGCTTCCTTTCCGTTGATGTTATGGAAATAATTATAATAATAGCTGCAAGTGCACTGTATAACAAAATTTTTAGGCTTGAGACGATAACAAGAAGATTAGAGAAATCCAACTTTGAAAAGCCTCCAGTGGTTCTCAAAAATTATAAAACATTCAACAAATACCAAAATTTAATTGTTTCTGCCACTTTATGATGGAAAAAGTGAAGGAGTCAGCCACTGGACAGTTACTGACCCGAAGCATACTGACTAGTAGCTAGGGGGTATGCTAGTGTCGCAATTAAAGGTAGCTTAGAATCACACATGGGAAGTATTCAGTGGAATTTACATAATCACAAGACGTTATGGACAGGACAGGGTTAATGACTACAATTACTGGCTATGATTTTTAGATCAATTTAAATGAATTCATTACTATAATGAAAAAAGGGAGGCTGTAATATCAATTTGGATTTCATTTCATTTTAATGGTGCGGGGGAGGAAACCCGTGGCCTCACACTCCTTAGGCAAGTGCTCTACTACTAGTTACTTCCCCCAGCACTTGGCAAGTATTGTCAAATGTATTCTCTTCTCTGTCACCGGAGGATATATGTAGGACATTAATAGAAAAATATAAAATATGAAATGCACATTATATAATGTAACCCTTTTAGTAGCCTTCTAGTCTGGTTTTGGGCCCATTTACCACTTTACACAGGGCTCCTGAGTGACTGACTGGTTGCCCTAATTTCCTCAGAAAAAACAAGTAACTATCCTGAGTTTAAAACTCAGGTGTGCTATTTTTCAAAGATTAGTAAGATCACTACATGAGAAAAATTATTTCTGTCAAAATAAATGTAGCTAAGTACTTTCCACATTTAAAATAAATGCTTACATTTTCATGAAGCAGTGTGGTAAGAGTTGGTCTTTGCTTTTGATTCTAGCCTAGGTGACTTTACTATTAAAACTACAAAGCAGTTTCCTAAATGAAATTCCAGTATGGTGACTTCTCAGTTGTTGGAGCTATACTTGCTCTTTCAGCGAGAGCAGTTAGGAGCACACCGCTCCTGGTTTAGAGGATGGGCTTACGGGGGCCGATCTGCTACAGTTTGTGTTGGTTCCCTTCTGGCCTTACCTTGGCGGTTTCAGCCTGTCTCTGGGCCTCTTGGAGAATAGTGCTGACCCGAGGTGCTGCCTGGGGAATCTGCCCATTGGACTGGGTGGTGCTGGTCTTCAGTCCTGAGAGGCAGAAAGAGAGAAGCGAAGTGTGAACAGGCTGTTTCAACGTTCTTGAAAGTGAAGCTGAAATTACAAAGCAGTGTCCATCATTCAAGCAAAAGGTTCTCAGGTAAGGTGTGGTACACGAGGCCTTAGGAGAGGCCTGAGGTTCCCGCTGGGGTGTTGCTGAGTCATATGCCTAGCAAGACTCTGGGTTCAATCCCCAGCACCAAATATTTTTTTTTAAAAAAGCTACGGTTCTATGGCAAAAGTTTCTGTGAGATTCAGCACAGAGCGGCAGGGGATGCAGCTCAGCAGTAAACTGTTTAAGGCCCCGTGTTTGAGCTGCAGCACCACATAAGTGAATTCATGGAATGCAGGAAAGTGTGCATACTTGATAAAGCCTACAGAGTAAAATTTATGTGAACTGGGACCCAAAGAAAAAGTATGCCCTGCTTTAAAGACTTTTTCTCTGTAACTGGAGAATAAACCTTGAAAATCTATTTTAAAAAGTCTTATTGAAGATTTTTTTTCAGATGTATTAATCGAGTTTCATATCATCATGAGTACAGAAAAAACTTTTTAACATTATCCCTCAACGAACTGTACTTAGATACAAACAATAGACAGAGGCAAAATGTGCAAATCCCTAATATCTTCTGGAATTAGATAGGTTTCTCCCCCAAAGTCCTGGTGGATACTTGTTTTATCTTCCTGCCTTTTAATTTTCTCTTTCATCACAGAAGTATGACTCATTGAGGGTTTACGGTTTTTTGTTGTTGTTTGTTTTGTTTTATGCTGGGTGCAGCACCTGCTAACCATGCACTCTCCCAAGCTATGCCACCATCCAGAAGTCAGACAGAAGAAGCGGCGTGTTGATTCTCTGCCTCCTTGGAGAGCATCTTGGGGACAGATACTTTCACAAACTGGAGGCCATTTCTCCTATGGCTGAACTGCCTCCCAGCCTGTGTCAGGGGGGCTGCTCCTCCTCCCTCAAGTGCAGGAAGAGACTGCTTTAGCCATTCTCTGCACAGGTGATTCTGTCAAACAGCTACTTCTTCAAAGAGTTTTCCAGCTTTTTTAAAAAATGAAAGTACTGGGGATTGAACCTAAGGCCTTTGCACTGAGCTACATCCTTAGCCCTTTTCATTTTATTTTTCTATTTTGAGACAAGGTCTCACTGGGCTCAAAGCTGTGGTCCCCCTGCCTTAGTTTCTCAGAGTGCTGGGATTGCATGCATGCACCACCATGCCTGGCTAAGTTTTCCAATAATTTGGGAAAAACACTGATCCACATAACCCAAAGAAGGCCATGAAAGACTTCAGGACACTGGAGAAAGGAAGGAAAAGTTTTATGAGGAACAGGCAGTAATGTAGTCCCCAAGTATGTCTCTACAAACTATTAGGTGTGACATGAAAAGTCTCTATAGGAGAGAAACTGCACCACACCTTAACCGTGTGATCAAAATGAATGTTGCACTGGGCGTGGTGGTGCATGCCTGTAATCCCTAGGGAGCACTAGGGAGGCTGAGGCAGGAGGATCATTGTGAGTTTGAGACCAGCTTGGGCTACAAAATGAGCTCAAGGCCAGCCTGAACTGCATAATGAAACCATGTCTCAAAAAAAAGACACCCCCCCCCGCCCACAAAAAAAATGTGAGTGTTGCTAATAGGGGCAGTTATACATGGATGCCTGCAACTGTGGTATCTGAGCACAGAAGAATAGTCATGTAGTATTCCTGCCTGAAGTACCTACCTAACCTGAAATGAATAATGAGGAAACACACATGCATCTAAATTGAGGAACATCCTAAAAGTAAATGGCTCTTAGTCTTTTAAAAAGGCAGATATCTTGATATTCAGAGAAAAGCTGAGGCAATACTCCGGATGAAAAGACTCAGGGCAATGAAATGCCTCCGTGTAAAAAATGCAGTGGACAATCCTAGATTGAAGCTGTGCCAGGAAAAATACATTTCTGTAAGGCTATTATTGAAACCTGTGCCCAAACTGAAGTGTAGACTGCAGCTCAGAGAGAAGCACTCTCACGTTAAACATTAAATTTCCCAAATTTGAAACTTGTAGCCGAGGTTAGTGAGAAAATAGCCATGCTTTCAGGAAATGCAAGTTGAAGATTTTAGGGACGGAGGGGCAGTGACTCTCAGGTGGTTGTGAAATAAATATGTCTACACGTAACACATGTCAAAGTGGAGTGAGAAAGACAGCCAGGGTGGTGAAACTGTTAGATTAGTGAATGGGGAGAAGGGTGCATGGGAGTTTTTTGTACTATGCTTGCAGCTTTTCTGTAAGCTTGAGATGATCTCAGAATGAAGTGAAAAGAGATATTAGTGTCTACTTCTAAATTTGAGAGTGCTGACTCCAAACATTTGCTAAAAGCAGAAAGTACTAAAAGAGCCTTCATGGCTTCCTTAGTGGAAAAGCAAACATAGCCATGTATCTTTAATAAGTTCCTGGTCAATTCTTTGGAGACAGGACACTGCCTCTGGGTTTTGTTTTGTTTTTTAGTTGGGAAATCCCACAGCAACACCAATCCCGGGTGGTTTCTGACTCCCAGCAGCGACTCACACTCCTCCTGCCGCTTCTCCAGGCCCCCGGCTCACTTGAGCAAAGCAGGAGAGATGGAGAGGACGAGGGGGCAGAGAGCTGCTGGGTTCCACTGGAGGCCAGCGAAGGCTGCGGAGGCATCAGACAGATGGGACTGGGCTTTATTTCCTTCATCCTCCACCAAATGATTTTATACTATGTTCCCCTCATAGAGAAGTAGTGAAAGATGGGGATGGGACAGGAGCTTCACGGTACCCCTGTGTGATTGGTGCTCTGAAGAAAACAACTTGGCATGAACACTAGCAGAGAACTCACTGTCCACAGAGTGACCAGACTTGTCATGCTCAGTGAAGGTATCCTCAAGTGCTGGGTCAAATCTACCTCACTGATACCTTCACACTTTCCCTGTGGTTTTATTCTTTGTAACCCTTAACCTGGACCATCAACTTGATTGGCTTAGGAGCTGCTCACAGGAATAGTAGGGCGTATTTGTGGGTGTGTTCTGGTGGGTCACCGAGGTGTGACCCTGGGGTTTTTATCTGGTCCTTTCCTCTCCGGCCATGTTCCTCTGCTCTGTTTCCTGGCTGCCATGAGTTAAGCATCTTTGCTGCCCCAGGCCCTCCACTCTGATGTTTTTTGCCGTGGGGCCAGCTGACCATGGAGTGAATCCTTTGAAACTGTGAGCCAAGTTAATCTCTCTTTTAGGTTGTCAGGTGCTGGGTATTGTGTCCCAGCAACAGGAAAGCTGGCTGATACACCCTTTGATGCAGCAACAGACACATCAACTGGAAGATAATAACCAGAACCCTTGTGCTAGAAATGGTTCCGGTTCTCTCCACTATTATTTATCATAAACATAATGCATTTGAATCACAGCTCAGCCACATAGAAGATGCTGGGTACTGACTTCTCCCATCTTCAGTTTCCTTAGCTGCCGAGTGAAGATTACAATATATACTCTTCTGGGCTCTTTTAAGAGCTAGAAAGAGTACATTCACTCCTCTGTATCCCTGGGTTCCATATCTGCTGATTAACCAACCACCAAACAAAAATATCTGCATCTGTACTGAACATGTGAAGATTTTCCCTTGTCATTATTCCTAAACAATATAGTTAATAACTACTTAAATAGCATTTACATTGTATTAGGCTCTATACATAATCCAGAGGCGACAGAAAGCATGAGAGGATGTATAGTTTATATACAAATACTATGGCATTTTAGGTAAGGCACTTGGTCCCGAAGCCAAACCACCATGGATACCAAGGGACAATGGTATATGTAAAAAACAAAGCAGCACATAGTACCCACTCCATGCCTCAGTGCCCTGTTCTTAAAAATATAAACAAGTTTCTGTTCTGTTACCCCTGGATGGTGATGTCCAGTATTGGGTAATGAATTCCAGCTGTGAAGGCACAGAAGCAAAATACCAAGATATGATCTCCTCCTTTGTATAAGCAGTCTTCTGGGTTCTCATGGAGCCTTGGACAAACATAATATTTATACTCTGATGAAACACAGCTTCCTACCAGCTCACCCTAAATCCGTGATCAGTACCTTATCCACAAACATCAAAGAGTGGCCAAAACATTGTTTTGTCCTTTGTAAAAAAAAATAGATATAGGGGTGTTGTGTGGGGTGAGCACAAGTAGGGGTCAGGCTAAGCTTTCCCACCAGAGGAGAAATGTATTCTATGTATACCTATAAAGTTTGGTATTGTAACATGTGTTGGATAAAATTGAACAAATCCCCCTCACAGTTTGTAGGGGTTTCAGTCCATAATTGGCTGGCTCTAAGTCAGGATGACATAGGAGACAGGCATTGCAGAAGAGAAACAGTTCATGGTTGGCAGAAGGTAGCAAAGCAAGCAAGAGACAAGAAAAGCCTCTTTCTGTCCTTTTTTATTTATTTATTTATTTTGTTTTTGTTTTTTTCTGGAACTGGGAATCGAACTCACGACCTTGCGCTTGCCAGGCAGGTGCTGTGCTACTGAGCTAAATCCCCAGCCCCTACTGTCCTTTATATTGTATTCAGGCCACCAGGATTAGGGCAGTGCCAAACCAATCACTGGATTAATTTAGTAATCACCCACACTTAATCCTAGCACCCCTAATCCTAGCATTGCACCATGAATCAATCACACACTCTAGATTCAGCCACCTCTGAAAAAGCCCCACCTTTGACAGCATGTGGCTTTGGGAGGACAGCTAGACACAAGCCATGACCGTTTAGTACCTGTGGAAGGCTGAGCTGGTGTAGCTGTATTGATGGTACTCAGGTTTGTCCACCGAGAGGCAAGTCCAGCCCTTGCCACAGCCCGCTGATAGTTATCGTAGAGGGTCTTTCCATACTAGGAAGGGAATACAAAGGAAGAAGGAATTTATTTCTTTCAATTTGCTCACCCAATTGCAGTATACATATTGAGAAAAAAATATGCCTTGATTACTCGGTTCATTCCTTGCTCAAGTTAATTCTTTGTATATTTCACTAAGAAATTGATTATTTTTCACAAATTAAATAATTTCCCAGATTAGCAAAACTGACAAATTCTTTCATCTACATATTAGAGGAGAGCTTTAGTCAAACAGTTCTGATTCTATATCTTTACATGTACTTCAACTATACTGCAGATTCAATCTTGTCTCTCTCTCTCTCTCTCTCTCTCTCTCTCTCTCTCTCCTTCCCTCCCTCTCTTTCTATCTTCTGTCTCCCTGTCCCTTCCCCTCCTCCCATCTCTCTTCCTCTCCTGTACTGGAAACCCAACCCAGACCTTCCCTCAGGCTAGGCAAGTGCTGTACCACTGGGCTGCGCACCCAGTCCAGTCTTGTGTTTTTAATCACACACTGAGCTTACCATCATCTCCTTGGGTAACTATCTGAAAAGTTTTATTTAAAAGTCAAGCCTTGATGCTCATGTCAGTGGAGAGGTCAATGTTGCTATCGCTTGCACCTACTTAAAGAGCTCAATATGCAAGTAAATGAGATAATATCTGTGGTTGTATCCAAGAGAGGGCCAGCTGTTTCACAGGACAAAAGCTGGACCCTTGTCAGGAAGCTGGCTGGCAAATCCAAGGACAGGCGAAGCCCTGTGCTCTCTCACCTTGGCGATCCTTATTCCCATGACCCACTGGTTGAGAGTCCTGGCATCGTCGCAGCAGAGGTACTTGATGTACTGAGACTCCTTCTGAATTTGAGGGTGCTAGACAGAAGCAATTTCAAAGACAGCTTATAAACTTCATGTATCAGTAACTCAAAGAACCTTTCCAAATAACTTAAAAAAAAAACCAATAATGTGGGATTTATTGAAGTGGAGGCAAACATTTTTGGTAGTAATTTTATTTTATTTTTATTTATTTATTTTTTTGTCTTTTTTGAGGCAGGGTCTTGCTATGCAGTTCCGGCTGGCCTTGAGCTCACTTTGTAGCTCAGGCTGATCTCGAACTCATGTCAATCCTCCTGCCTCAGCCTCCCAAGTGCTAGGATTACAGGCGTGTGCCACCACACCTGGCTGTTTATGGGTAGTAATTTTAGGACTAGGAAAAGGAGTACTTTTTAAAATGGCTAAACTCCTAAAGGATTTAAGAAATACGTTATGCTATTGATTTATCATAAGCACCATAAAGGAATTTACTTTATATATATACTTTTTTTTTTTAGTGTCACAGAACTAAAGCCTACACAGATTGTGGTTTTATGGTTCCCAAAACCTAGTCCAGGGGTTATATCTGCTATCAAGAATTCAGAGTCCTGCAATGATGTTCCTCAACTGTTAGCTCACATCCAAATGAGAGCTTCTATGTGCTCTCCAAGGGACTGCGCAAAAAGTGTTTGGATCCACTGTATTCTCAAGTTGCATTGAGCAATGGCTTGGGGGGATGAGCAAGGGTTACTAGGCCTCCAGGGAACTCACAGGAGTAACAGTGAACGGCAGATAGGATGAAGGAAGAGGGATGCCCTGTACTCCTCTTTGTTCCCTTCTGCCTCCCTGTAATCCTGTTTTGTGCTTCTGATAGGGCGCCTGCTCCATGAGGGTGGGAACTACCGTCTATCTCATTTGCTGAAGACCCCGTACCTGGAACGTGGTAACTATTCCTGTCCAGATGTCAAAGTAACTGTTGAAAGAACTAAACAAAACATTTCTTTCTTTTTTGTTCTTTTGAGCTAGATCTCGCTATGTAGTTCAGGCTGGCCTCAAACTCATAAAACATTTCTTATTCAGTCACATATACTGTAGCCATAAAGTTACAGACAGATAACCAAATTCTGAAATACGTGCCAGGTCAATTTGCATGGGTTATTATAATTTGTAGTTAATTTTATTGTATGGAGATAATTACTGGTTACAGTGTGTGTGTGTATGAGTCAGAGAGAGAGAGAGAGTGAGAGACGTACAATACTGCCTCTTTTTTCTGCATTCCATAGAATAGTTTGTTAATCTAAACCAGGTTTAGGATGAATTAAGATGGCATGAATTGCTGGAGATCCTGAAAATGGAATGAGAAACCGAGACAGCTGGGAGCATCTATGCGCTTGCTGTGCTCTTAGCAGGTGGGAAAAGAGCGAAGCCATCCGTTCTCCTCTAAGGTGTTGCATAGACCACTCACTGTTGCAGTCATTGACCTCCAAAGATATGATTAATTTGCAAGAGTGATCCGAACAAAAGACTTTGTACTTTCTAACTGCAGTTGGAAAATAAGAGGAAGCATCCAGGCTAGTCTCCCTGCTGGTCTTTCCAGTGATCCAGCCTGTGATACTGTTGTCTTTGCCCAGAAAGGATAGCGAGACACTTACGTAGAGACTGTAACAGTGTGGTGAAAGTTTAGACATTTCTGATTTTAAAAACAAGAAAACTGGTGCTGAGAGAGGTTGGTATATATTTCTCGACTTACCCTAAAGTTTCTGTATTTAATGTAAGTTATTAAGCCAAAATAACAGACTTTGAGGATATCACAGAAAAATCCAGAAGATACAAAGAATTCCTTTTCTCGGTCTTTTGAACCAACTAAGGAAAGTCTACTCTTACACTCTCATATTTAAATAGGCTGCTTCCTTTATTTAGGCCCTTTAATTCTCAGAATTTCCCTCAGTAACACTTGGAGAACAGTCACTTCCTATTTGCTAACCCATCACAGATTTTTCTCTCCTGAGGGCAAAAACAACCCCTCAGGCTCCTGAACGTTGCTGTTGTTTTTGGATCCGACCGGCAGGTGGCAGGAAACACTTTTGAATAACAAGATTGCATTGTTGCCTCAGTGCTTGCTCAATAATTCAGAATGTTCAATTTTAGTTTTGCAAACGTTGCCCAGTAATACTGTTCAATGGAGACCCTTAAAACTAGAAATCTCTGTCAACTCAGCTTATGTGTCCTAATAGAAAAAGCATTTGTTGCATTAATTAACCTGAAGGTCAGAATGAGGAAAAATATAAGCCAGGCCTTCACAGATGGAATGTGACATTCCAGAAATGCCCGCAGCATTCTTAACAATAAGATCTGCAAAATGAAACCACAACCCTTGTCTTTAAGTACAGTGACCAGCCCCCTACCCTAGGCTTTGTCACATCAGAGGAGTAAGCACTGGCCTCTCCAACAATTTACTGTTTATAATTGGTTTTAGAAAGGGTTACTTTTTCTTTCAGAGATATTTATTTATTTATTTTTGTCTTTTTGACACAGGGTCTTGCTATGTAGTTCAGGCTGGCCTTGAGCTCACTTTGTAGCCCAGGTTGGTCTCGAACTTGAAACGATCCTCCTGCTTCAGCCTCCCAAGTACTGGGATTACAGGCGTGTGCCACTGTGCCCGGCTCTTTCTGAGACATTTATTTATTTTTTGTACCGGGAATCCAACTCAGGGCCTTGCTCTTACCAGGCAGGCCCTTGTGCCTCTGAGCTATATTCCCGGCCTTTCTGAGATATTTAAAAGGTTGCCATTGTAACCTTGGCTTTAGTATATTACTTTGTTGGGGTTTGGTTTTGATTTTGGTGCCTCGTAAGTCAAACCTCTAGGAACAGACTAAATTGTGCTTGCAAGGAAATGCAGAAAGTAGTTGTTTACATAGAAGTATCCATTTAAGCACTACACAATTTCCAAGTATATTATTCATCTCACTGCTATAAAACACAGTATTCCCTTAAATAAAATGGGTTTGAGTATAAAACAGAGGCTACTAAGCCTCAGAACTCATGGTTCCAAGATGAGCTACCACATGGGCACCGGGCTCTTCTGTCCCTCCCTCCATCGAGTTGGGTACAAATCCTGCAGGCGCCTCGGACACCTCAGAGCCAGCACCGTGCCTGGCCTCCAGTCCTTTCTTGGGATCTCACTCAGTGCTTACTTCTGAACTGTCCTGTTCCTCTCTTAGGGCGCTGGCTGAAAAGTTATCTGCAAAGGCATTTAAGGGGACTGCCAGTGGGCCAGATTCTTCCTCACTGATTTGATGGTTCCTGACCATAAAAAGACAGAAGCTTTCTTAGGACAGGCAGCACAGCATATAAAGGTCAAGGCCATTGCAGAATGCTATGGCTGGAAGGGATCCTGCAGAGCTTCTAAACTTACAAAATGGGGCTAAGGGTCGGAGAAGTTAAGAAATGTGTCCAGGGCCAGAGGTAGTGGCAACACCATGACTAGAACAAAGGCTCTGCTTGTTCAACAAATAATACCCCTGGGTGCAGAGAAATCTACTGATATCAAGGTGAATAAAGAACAAGAGACAGCTCATACCATCATCAGGGAATGTCAAAAGGTATGGGATTATTTTATTTATGTATTTATTTTTGTCTTTTTGAGACAGAGTCTCGCTGTGCAGTTCAGGCGGGCCTTGAGCTCACTTTGGAGCCCAGGCTGGCCTCCAACTCACAAAGAGCCTCCTGCTTCAACCTCCCGAGTGCTGGGATTACGGGCATGCACCACGATGGCCTGGCTGGGATTAGTTTATGATGTGGCTCATTTTATGACACAAATTTGAAAACAGAGGCTGAGAAAGGTGTTTTGAAGAAGTAACAGGATGTGTAATGTCCAAAAAGTTTATATGGAAAAGTTTTGGGGACCATGGAAAAGGGGCAGAAAACCAAGGTGGAGAGGTTGGAACAAAGGGCTGTGTGTGAAATTAGAACACTCTCTAGGCACCAGGGAGCATCAGACATTGTCCAAGAGCAGAATTAGACAGGAAGTAACTGTGGCTACCCGGATGATGGGCTGAGAGTGAGCAGCACCATCGAAGAGAGAGAGGAGAGATGGGAGAGAGAGGGCAGCAGAGGAGAGTGAGAGACAGTGATAGAAAACTGAAAGGACTTTTGCCTCAGGGGTTGAATTAGAAATGGGAAGTGGAAGGAATGTAAGGCTCATCTCTGTTTCTAGCTTTGTAGTAAAGGCTGTTGTGTTTGTGACTTCCCTAAAAGCCCCAACCCCTGGGACTTGTGAATGTGACCTCACTTGGAGTGAGTCTTTGCAGATGTAAGCAAGCTAAGATCATACCAAGTCAGGGTGGGTTCTAATCCAGTAACACTGGTGTCCTAACGACGAGAGCAGGAGCAGCTCAGACACAGACGCAGGGGGAAGCCAGCTGCATGACCAGGCAGACAGAAACTGGTGTTAGGCAGCTACTTTGATGCCAAGGATTGAAGGAAGCTTCCAGCAGCTAGGAGAAAGGTACAGGATGGATTTTCCCACAGAGCTCTCCAGAAGGAACCCAATCGGACTTTGATTTTGGATTTGTTGTCTCCAACAAATTTCTGTTGTTAAAAGCCACTTGTGATTTGTCATGGCAGCTCTAGGAAACCGCTCCCATGGGTGGCGATACCATTAAGCTTGAGAGATCGTTAGGGTGGACAGAAGGTTGGAATCACTGTCTGATGAGTCACGGCTACAGTGCCCTTGCACTCGCCTTTACGGCAGGTGTGGGGCTCGGAGAGGAGGGGCAACTACTCACTGCAGGTTGAGAGGAATTAGCACATCGCCTGTCCCTGGAGCTGTGGCTGGGAATATGGTCTCTCAGAGACAGCTGGAGTCTGGTGAGAACCAAACACAGAAAGAGCACGGAAGACATTCTGGTGTTGGGGAGAAGGAGAAGCCAGCAGAACTGGAGCGAAAGCAGGCAGGTGGAGGGGAGGGGACCAGGCTGACGATCGTAAAACGAGGAAGTGGTCACCAGTGCAGAAGGCACTGAACAGGACCAGAAGCCTGAGGCCTGGGAAAGCTGAATAGCGAGTCTGAAGAGCAGCGCAGGGAGAAAGCTGTTCGCGGGCCAACGTAGGGACGCCAGCTGTCTTCCTGCTGTTCACCGGTGCACCTCAAGGCCTGCAGGAGAAGTAGGTTAGAAATCTCTGGAGTGAATGAAGTACAATGACAGGGCGACAGTGAGGACGTGGAGGGACCAAGACTCTCTCAAGAAGTCTGAGTGGAAGGGAAGATAGAGGCCAACTATGGCCTTTGTTTGAAGAGGTGGGGCAGGTGAAACTGAGGGAAGAGGCCGGGAGTCCCCAAACTAAGTAATAATTTGTAACACGACCGGGTTCCAAGGGGACGAATTCTCAGGTAACAGACTGGAGATGGTGAAGCCAAAGGGCGTCCTGGGGGTGTGGTGTGATCCAGGGGAAGCTAATGCAGGGTGGGAGCCTTCCTTCTCTGAGGAAATGGGACAGCCGGAAATTGGACAGTTACTGTGTTAGGTAGTTTAGGAAGTGAGATGGAGTAATTCAGTCCTGTTCTCGCTTCTCTTTCCCAATAGAATGCACAGTGTGCCCAGTGAGGCGTCTGTGGGTGGGAGGCCATCTGAGCAGAGGGTACAGCTGCTGGGGATGAGGCGCAAGACCAAGGGGCGGAACCAGGAGAAAAGCTGGTAACATCTTGCAGGCAGGAATGACCTGGAGGCCGGCAAAAAGCAGGCACGACGTGCAGTGCGAGAAATGTGGCTCAAGCGACTGATCCTTAAGTCAGGCTGGAAGAGACGTGTAGTGATGGGGGAATGTTGACCGGGAATCCTGGGTCTAAGAAATTGAAGGGAGAAAGGAAAGAGGGTTTGTTTGCCAGAGGACAGACCTATGTACCCAAGAAGCGGTCATGACCTTGGGCAACCTCATGAATCTTTGTGAGTTTCTGTTCTGCAATTATGATATAGGAAGGATAGCACCTCTCATGGAGGACTGTTGAAAAGATTCAATGAAATAATACAGAAGAGGACCCAGTATGGAGCCCATTACCTGATGGAGAAGCTACTGCTGTTACTATTATTAAAGACAGAACCAGGTCTCAAAGAGCACAGAGGGATAAGCGCCCTGCTGTGTTTTTCTACTCATTCATTCATTCATTCATTCATCTATTCACTGGATGTGTACCGACCACTTATAATGTGTCAGATGCTGCCTTGAGCTGGGGAACACAATGGTGAACACACAAAACATGTCCCTGCTCTTAGGGCACATTTATTCTCATAAGAGAGAAAGCCAGTAAAAAGGCAAAACAGCAATATAATTTCATATTGTAAGAAATATCATGAAGCGTGAACTCAGCAGAGTAAAGACAGGCAGTAGGAGAGTGATGTGGTTCCCCATCATTTCTGGGGAACCCAGAGTCCCAGTACTCCTTCTCTGATACTCTACCACAGCTTTACAGATTTCTCTAAAAAACTAACTTCTTCCAGAAAACATTTACTTCCTCTATCCCATCACACCTAGCTACAGAGTGGTGTGAAAAAGCACTCACAGAGGAGCAGCTCCATTGTACGTGCTGGATGAGATTGTACATGAAGATCAAGATTACAGGAAGAGAAAGGATTCTTCTTTTTTTTTTTTTTGTACCAGGAATCGAACTCAGGACCTCTCACTGCACCGCTGAGCTATATCCCTGGCCCCAAGAAAGGATTCTTAAGTACTAAGTGCTTCCTTCTGTTCCTGTGTCTGCCTGGAACCGTACCTCTCCTTAGGGGCCAGAGATGCCTCTGCTGCCTTCTCAGAGTGCAGTCCTGGGCAATGGCATCAGCACCGCCTGCCAACTCATCAGAAAGCAAATTCCTGGGCCTGATCCAAGATTACTGAATCAGCAACTCTGGGGGCCCAGCAACCGTGTGTGGTAATCCTAGTCCCTGAGTGGTCTTGACAGAGTAAAGTTTAAGAAACGCTGGGTAACAAAAGTCTTTATTTAAGGTCTGGGGTGTTGCTAGTGATAGAACGCTTGCCTACTATGTGCAAGGCCCTTGCTTCAGAGCAATGCAAAAAGAAATTATTTAGTACCAGAATGAGCAATAACCTTTCTTTTCCTGTAACAACTACTGCTTATGTGGTGTTGGTGTGTTTCTAGACCTTGTGCTAGTGTTTTTATGGGCATGTCTTATTTAATTCTCAAGAAGGGCTGGGTACTCCTATCTCTACTTTGAAGGGGAGGTAGTGAGGCTTAGAGTCTCAGCAGCGTTCCTAAAGCCGGAGCTGGAAAGTGGTAAGGCCAGGATTCAAACCCCGCCTCCGCCTTGCCTGAGGACACTCACAGTTGGTAAGCTCACACTGAATAAAAACCTCTGGTCTGGACTGATCAGTCAGCACATGTCCACGGAACCATGTAATCCTGTAACACGCCTCCTTGTACTCTGCGTACCTCTTATAATCGATGGGCATATTTTTTTGCATTTTGGAAAGTGGCTCACCCTCATGAAATACTTAAAAGTCAATAAATGACCACAATGTTTATAAACAAATTAAGTTCTGCAAACCATAGTAGTTCTGTTTACTTAGCAAGTTAATAAGCATTCTCAATATTTTGGGAAGCAACTGAGAAGTGTACTAAAGAGCAAAACGAGCAGGTGATTGTGCATAGAGAAACGAGCTCAAGAACGGAACTGACCACCATCTTGTCCAACAGGAAATGCACGTCTCCTGCGCTTGTACATGACGCCTGTTCCTAGGACCATCAAACACCACTGGTTGCCACCTCTGATCCTGCTCTTCTTTCCAGAGGCGACTCCAGCTGTCTCCGGAAGACTGAAGCCTGGGATATGAGGACTTTTAGAAGTTCTAGTTCAGTACCCAAGGAACTGGTATTACGATTCTTGCTGCAGCCCCTAATAACCTTGTTTCTCAGGTCAAAGAATTCAGTACTGCCACAAGTCTAGGTCCTAGTCCCAAACTTGTGAGTGCAGAGCACCCACTCCCAAGAACTACCTGGCCCAAAATGCCAACAGCGCTGTTGTTGCAAAATACTTCCCTAGACAGTATGGTTCTAAAATAATGAGACCACTCAGGGTCTGTTGAATGACAAGTGGGCACTGGGAATACAGAAGTGAAGTAAGCATACAGAAATCCCTCTCCTCCTGGATTCTGCATTCAACTCGAGGGAAACGGCTGTAAACAAAACATGCAATGTGCTGTTCAAGGCTGTGGATCGAAGGAGGGGAGAAGACAGAACATGTCAAGACTGGGACTAGGCATTCTTTGGATAGAATGGTCAGAGAAAGACAATGACAGCTGATAAAAGTTGTGAATGAAGGGAGAGAGCAAGAATTACCTGTGAGAAGAGCATTCTAGGAACAAGACCAGTAAGTGCAAAGGTCCTGAGGTAGTGAGTCAAAAGGAAGAGAGAGGTGAGGAGCATGCTCTGCTTTCCTTCAGTCTCTTTATGACCATTACTTTGAGACCATTCTGTGTAGGGCACAGTTTCTCAGCAGCAGCACTCATGGCACCGGGGATGGGTAATTCTCCGGTGTGCCGGCTGTCTTGCAGGTTGGAGCACGTTTAGTAGCTACCTTGACCTCTTTTCCCCAGATGCTATTAGCACCCACACTTTGCCCCAGGTAAGACAATCAAAAGTGTCTCTGGACACTGCAAAAAGTCTTAAGGGGGGAAAATGCATCTGACTGAGAACTACTAGGGGAGTGTCAGGCTGAGTAAGCTAGTATAGTGTTCACCATCGTCGTTATTATTATTATTATTATTTTTTCCGGTACTGGGAATCAAACTCGCGACCTTGTGCTTGCCAGGCAGTGCTGTGTGCCTGAGCTAAACCCCCAGCCCGTCGTTATTATTTATAAATTGCTAAAGTTAGATGCTTGGTAATGTAAAAGAGGACTGGGAAAACTAGTTCTAAATGAAAACTAGTATCTGAAGTCATCAATAAAGTAAAAATTTTTATCAAATTACTATTTAAGTGATGATAATTGTGCACCAAGTAAAAATTATTAAATATGATTGATGTCTTAATGATTATATTTAAGAATAAGCCCAAAAACAAACCAAGGCCTCAAACCCAGACCTCTGTAAGTATAAAGACCTGAACACATCATATGTGTGGTTATAAGGACAACCATCTATGGATCTGACTGATCTCACTGAATTTAAATTCTAATGTAAAAATGAGAGCCATATCAAACACTTGGTACTACGTTGCCTTTTGACAATATACACCTTGGAAAGTTTCACAACTTGGCAATTTTTGAAATGATTTATTTCTTGCTATTTTGCATCTTTCTCTAGGAAACCTTGGCAAGTTTCTAATTTCTAAAAATTTATAACAAATCATTTGAAGGAGAGTTTACTAAATAAAGAACTGAACATTTTTTCACTTCCATCAATAAAACTATATATTAATTCATTAAAAAAATATAGACCTCTTTATATTTTCACAAGTGATGAAGGACCCCAGACAGATCTATTTTAATGTTTTAGGCTCTGATGGCATGCTTTGGAGGGAAATGACTCAAGGTAATAGAGGACTTTTTTCCCTTCTTGATTTTGGTTTAGAAACAGAAATTTTGTGGGCCGGGCATGGTGGTGCACACCTGCAATCCCAGCACTTGGGAGGCTGAGACAGGAGGATCATTATGAGTTTGAGGCCAGCCTTGGCTACAAAGTGAGCTCAAGGCCAGCCTGAAAGGCATACTGAGACCCTGTCTCAAAAAGACAAAAAAGAAAAAAGAAAACCCAGAAATTTTACTATACTGCATTTGTCTGTTAATTATACAATTTTATTGTTTTTCCCTTAAAAAAAACATTGACCCAAACCGCTTACAAATTTAAATTCAGGACTTCTTACAACCTACCTTTAAAACTAAACAGTGGTCAGTGGGCGCTTTGTATTTCATTTTGCACTGAATCCCATAGTAAACGTTGACATTTTCAAACTGTATAAAACAAGCCAGATCTCGGGACGTCTGAAAGAGAGGGGAAAAGATGACTTCAACCGAGATGACAGCTAATGATTTCCCAAGGTCGTTCCTGATGACACTACAAAGGATTTCATTTTAGTAGAGAAAATATTGAATTTTTAGGTAGTTTATATTAACATCTGTCATATATACTGTCATATTCTCCAAGGCAAGCCTACACAAAAGATGAAAGAGAGAGGGTGCAGCCCCTGTGTGCCACGCGCCCCTAACAGGGCGGAGTGAAGGATGACGCTGCTGTCGCGGCCCCTGGCTCCGGACTCCGGGGTTAGAACCCACTGACCTTGACGCGTCCGCTATTGACTCAGCAGAGACAAGGTGACCAGCGATCGGAAATTTCATCTCCGTTTTTGCCATTCTAAGTGAGTGACGGATTTTGTGATTGAGCATTAAAAAAAAAATTCCTCTCAGGCTGAACAACTAGAGGTAAATTCGATGCTCAGTAAATTAGCACGCATGTCAGGCGCTTCTTCCTGAGCAAAAGGCTTGCTTCTGTGCTGCCGCTGCATGGTTGCCATGGAAACAGAGCCCTCTCCTCCACGCATAAAGTGCTTGGCGAAGACGACAACCTCTAATCTACATATCTGGTTACACTTCAATTATACATTTGTTCATTATTCTTTTTTTTCTCCTTTGCATTCTGTAATTCTTTACCCAGTTAGTGAAAAAAGAATAAAAGGTAGAACCGCTACATCTAAGTGCACAATTTTTCCTTTACATAAGGTGTTTGCTTTTTCTAATATTTTCAGCTGGATTTTTTTTCTTTGTACTGAGGATGGACCCCAGGGCCTTGCACCTGCTTGGCAAGTGCTCTACCACTGAGCTACAGTCCCAGCCCCACACAAAGTTTTAAAATCATGAATGAGATTTTAATACAAACACTGTTTCATGGTTATTCTTTTTCTTTTTATTAGTACATGTTTGCAGTACATAATGATCACATTCTTTGTGTGGAGTTGGTACTTGAGTATAATACATTTTAATTCTTTTTTCATCCCCCTACCCTCCTCCCCTCTCTCTCTCTCTCTCTCTCTCTCTCTCTCTCTCTCTCTCTCTCTCTCTCTCTCTCTCTCTCTCTCTCTCTCTCTCTCTCTCTCAGTGTCTCACTGTGCAGTTTAGGCTGGCCTTGAACTAGGTAGCACAGGATGGTCTCAAACTCATGGATCCTCCTGCCTCAGACTCCTGAACGCTGGGATGACAGGCACACGCCACCATGCCGGGCAAGAGAGACATCTTAACACTTTTCAAAGATGTACCCAAGAAGGCTATATCGAAACTCTCTAAGAAAGGTCTTGAAAAAAGCTAATGATCAGAATGAATGTTACAATTACATTTCAAAGAAGAAATATTTAGACTTGAGGCAGTAATCCCAGCTCACGAAGTAAATTCAGTGATAGCTGAAGTACTCTGCTCAGCTAGGCAGTGAAGTGCACATAATACGCCTCAGAGAACACTTTACATATCCTGAATATAAGGGCTAACTTCTCAATGAAGATCTCTGAAGACTTCTACCACTTCTATAATTCCAGGTAAAATAACTTTTACTATAATGAGCAGGAGAATATCTACAAGGACACAGAGTCTTCAGAGATAGACACGTAAAGTTACAAAATAATCTCTACGAAAATGCTTTTGCCGTAACTTTTGAAACTTGATTTTAAAATGGGTAATTTTTTACTTTAAAGAGAGAGCTCTGGGAAAACTCAAGAGTGTTTTAATAAGTCTGTCCTAAAGGATATGTATTTGTGTGAACACTGGAGAACTGCAGATCCTGTGGAGATAAAGGTATGTTTAAATTGCTACCTCAGGATTCCTGTAATTTCAATTTCATGAAATGCTTTCTTGTCAAAGTGTTTTGTTTGGTTTGCTTTTTGTCAGTTCGTTAATTTTCCCCCCCTTTCTAATACTATAGTTTGGATCTGGAATGTTCCGTGCAGACCCACATGGTAAAGGCTCCATCCCAGCCTTTGGTGTTAGTGGGAGGTGTAGAGTCTTTGGGAGGTGTGGCTCGGGGAAGGAAGTTAGGTCATGGGGGCATGACCTTTAAGGGGATAGTAGGACCATCTCTTTCCTTTCTCTCTCTTGCTGCTGCTCATGAGTGAGGCCTCCTCTTTCATGTGCTCCTGCTGTGATTATGGTGCCTTGCTGCTGGCCCAGAGTAGTGGCCAAGAGGCCATGCACTGCAACCTCCAAAACCACGAGCCCGAATAAAGCTTTCCTTTAAAGAAGTGTACTATTGCAGGCATTTTGTTATAGTAACAGAACACTGACTGACACACTGACCTTTGTCTTTCCTTTGGGTACATAATAAATTCCAGAAGCTCGTAAAAGAAAATAGCGCCTTTTCCAGGATTTCTTTCCATCTTCTTTCAGGTAAAGAGCTCCTTCAAGTTCTGGTACGATGATAGATGTTCCACAGAAACTTTCCTGAAATTGAGATCCCAAAGGCATAAAACACATGAAAGACAAAACACATTCTTGTTAACATTTTGTTGTTGTTGTTTGAGATAGGGTCTCACTATGTAGCCCAGGCTTGCCTCAAACTCACAGCAGTCCTCCTGTATCAGCCTCTTGAATGTTAGGATTACGGGCATACACCACTACACCTGGCTCTTGTTCACATTCAAACAAGCTTTCAAGTTAGCCTTTAAGCTAAAAGTCATTTTTGTCTATGTACTGGTGGATTCACTGTGTCAATTTGAGAAGTTTAGAGGTTTAACTAAGTGACTCAGCAGGGGGTCAGGGTCCTCACTTGGTAAACATCCTCATCCTGTGCAAGAGGAGGCACAGAGATGGTGTGAGTGCTACACCCGTGGGGGTGTGGGTGTGGGTGTGGGTGGGGTAACCTGCTTACAATATAAGGGAAGGAAAGAGGCTTGCTTCTTCCCCCTTTTGCTCTTGCTGCTTTTGGATTGTTGCCCCTGTGCCATATCACCCTCCCTTGGAGCCAAATGATTATGGACTGAACCTTCTACAAACTGTGAGCTAAAGAAACCTTTCCTTCCTTAATTTTGGGCATTGAGTATTTGCTCTTAGCAACAAGAAAAATGTAACTAAGACAGCCTGCAACTCTGAATACTCTTGTTTCCAGTATATGGTAATTGCCACAGAGAGGGGAGCTAACACAGTGCCCAAGAGGCCTGCTACTGAGTTAGATGTCAAGGCTTTTTGACCACTGAGCTCTGTAACCGTGGACCACTGAACTTTTTTCCCTTACTTGAAAAAAAAAAAAAAAGGAATAATAGCCCTACTTCACAAGGTTAGTCAGTACAATCTTGGTATATGGTAAAAGTAAGCATTTAACAAAGTCTATTACTATTGTTACAAACTGGAAAACAAAAATTCTTACTTTCCAGGAAAGTAACAGAATTACCAGCACTGCTGCTAAGTAGAAAACTTGTATCATTATACACATAAAATAAGTTCATAGTTGATTCTATTCTTGGGATTGTTTGCCTTTCAGATAATGGAGAATTACTACTACTATACCAGAAAAGGAAAACAAAACACAATTTCCAATCTCAAAATAAAACACTATTTTCAAATCTCAAAACTTCCATAAAATTATATAATTCTTAATAAGTTTCTTCAAAAGAAGCAATAGAATAAAGTTACATATTATTTTGTACATTATTTTGAGACCATGCACTCCTGATCCATCTTCCCCAGCTTCCCAAGTGCTAGGATTACAAGTGTGTGCTACCTATTCTTTTAGTTCAAATATGCAAACTTAATTCTTGCTTTCTTTTTGTAACTCACAACGTTCTTTCTTTTGGTTTCATAAATACAAAATAATTTTGCATCCTCCAAGTATATTTACACATGGAAAACATTTTTGTTCACATTTTACCCAATTTCCCATCAATCTAGCTAGTATTGGTTAACCTGTCAATAATCTATTAAATGTATTTGGATTTTTGATCCAAGTGAGATAGCAGGACAATACTGATTTTTCATAGTATAACAGTGTTTTCTTTCACATTCAAGGGTAAAATGGTGCTATCACAAGAACTACTCAGGTAATTGTATCAGCCAACACATAACCAGTCCCCAATTTAAAGACACTAATTTCTAAGCATTAGTTAGAAACAAAGAGCTGTGTCAGGAAAATGTTCTCTTTGCATGTCTGTTTGCTCCATCGCAGCTCGAGATGCTCAGAATCCTGCATCTCCTCTCTCAGGGACACCTGGCCCTGTACTCCCCAGTCAGCCTAGAGTGTTTGTTCAGTAAGGACAGAAAAGCTGGACCATAGAAAAGTTTCCCTGCTGGGCCTCCCTGCAAGTGCCCTGTGTGCTCCTGGTTCCAGGGGCCAGAGCTTGAAGCATGCGCTTAGGAGCTTGGGGATGACAATGAGGCTCTGTTGTCAGCCTTGTTAGCTGCAGGGTTGCTGGAGCCTGGCTAGGAGCAGGAGCAGGAGCAGGAGCAGGAGGAGGAGCAGGAGCAGGGGCAGGGGCAGGGGCAGGGGCAGGGGCAGGGGTCTGAGCAGGAGCCTGGTGAGTGGGAAAGGCTGCTCTTCCTCGTCAGCACACTGGCTCCAGGAGAATGTGAGCCATGGCATCACCAGGCCTTCTAACTTTTCAAGAGAAACCCAGTCTCTTAACTTAAGAAAAGAACATCACTCAGTTGAGGAGGGGCAGCAAGTAGAACCTGTCTGAGCCTCCAGCATGCCCACCTGGGACCTGGGACCAGGGACTTGGCCTTTATTCTAGCTGTGTTCCCGGTCAGGAGCAGGGCACAGTTACTGCATGAAAACTCACTGGGAGTTTCAAAATTCAGTTGTCAAACGTGCTTGTGGAATATATCCTACTAATCATCACAGATATTTGAGTTTTCATCATCTCCCTGAATCTCATCTCTGATAACTGAGCACAATTCTGAACCCGATGTTCCCAGAGGGTTAGGATTAGGGATCCCATTAGCACACCACAAACACGGAGTAGAGTCATACCCTACATCATGTCTCAACTCCAGATATCACATGTCCCAGCAAATGTAGCTGCTGCTTGGGAGAACAGCTCAGAAGATTAAAATATATACATACGGTTGTAGTGCATAATGTTTCCACACCTTGTGGAGATTAGTAGATGCCAATAATACATATTAATGTTTTTTTCTTATTCCTTTCCCCTTCTCTCCTTCTCCCCTTGTTCATCTTTTGATCTCTTTCTCTTTTTAGAAAGATCTACCTCCCTACTTCCTATCTTTTATTTTGCTCTGTATTTATACGCTGGGTTTCTTATATAAGAGAAATTACATGGACTTCAAGCTTGTGTGTCTGCTTTTTTGAACTTAACATTATGGTCTCAAGGTGCATTCAGAAGATTTAAAGAGTTGAAGAGCCTTGTCTGACTCCTCTGGAGCTCTTAAATAAAGGATCATATGGAATGTTAGCAGATGAGTTTTGTGAAGATTCACAAGTCTTTTTAGTCAAAAATCACCAATCAAATTCATGAAAAGCACACTACATTATCTAAAACTATACTTAATTACAATGGACTCAAATAATCAGTTGAATTATCTAAATAGCTATAATTTAATAATAGTTTGATTTTAAAATTGCAACTTATAATTTCAGCCCATATCTCAGAATTTCCCACTGATCTGGAGAAGGAATAACTTAAAAATACCATCCTTTTTTCTTCCACTCTGCAAAATTAAGCTTACCTCAAGTAAGGATTCCTTTGTCTTAGCATTCATTTTCTCAGTGGTTTTCTTGCCTTCTTTCGTTCCTTTGTTATCCAAGTAGAAATTCTAAATACAATGTTAAAAGATCAGATAGGTACATGTTCCTTACTATGTTAGACACTGCAAAAAACTCAGAGTCTTGCTAGAGAGGTGGATCTGTGTGAGATAAACAGGGAACCAAAGCAAATGTTCTGAATCAACCAGGACGCCCGGCCACCAGATCACTGATGCAAAAATAAAACTCTCTTTCCTAGCACACAATCAGTGAGGAAACAAGATGGAAAAGATGAATCTCATTTAATTGTTAAATTCCATATCGGAGAACACGAGTGGAACTGGGAGGCCCTCAAGCTCTGGAAGAGGCTGGGACTGTTTTCCTAGACAGTGTGTGTTCCCAGTGGACTGATGAAATGCTCTACCGTCCACCACTCTGATGAGATACACTACCTCATATTATAGGATTTCCAAAAAGAAAAGAAAGAGAAGGACAGACCCACACATACACACATACACATGCACAACCTTGTGTGGCTCTGAACACAGGAGCATGGCTCTGTCTGCAGGCCGCTTGCGATAACTGCCAAACACAACTTAATGATAAGAGAAAGCCTCTCAGGTTTGAAAGAAATACTCATAAGTCTCACTGAGGTACTGCTTTAGTTTAACTATACACAACAAATTACTTAACCTTCTGCTACTCCAAATACATTTACTGCTCATTTTTAAAGATGAGCCCCCACTAAGTAACTGTGTTGCAGTTTGAAATGAAGCAGAAAGATAAACAAAACCCAGTGCTGGTGATGAATATACAGCAAACTCGCTTCATTATGCACAAAGACTGAAGCCCCTTTTCAGGGCTGTGATGAGCCACAGATGCACCCATTTTCAAAGACTTGTTTGAAGACTATGCAGCAACTTTGCTGTGTTTCCTGTATCTAAGATCTGCAGACTCTTGTCTTCCATGACCTCCTCTGAATCCACTGTGAAATACCTGAGAAGTAGTGAAGGTACCACCATGGAAACCAGGAGCTATCTTGCTTGTACCCTCCACCGCCAAGGTTTGGAGGAAGTAGAATTCCAAGTGGTCCAGTAGTGAATGTCTTTCTTCAGCCCTGTGTCACCACAAGAATTGCGGGAGCATCAGAGCAGGTATTAGTTTTGTTTCAACAGCGATTGGATCCACATGGGTCTTCCTCAGCATCTGCTACGCTGTTTGGGGTGTCAGCTCCAGAGTCACCCTTATCTACCCCATACACAGGCTTCTCTCATTTCTCTTAAGTTTATTATGAGACTCTCTGTCAATTCCCTCTTTGAGAAACTGTGCATCTGCACTTGCAAAGTCAAAGGACCAACACACCAAATATCAAATCTTTCCCTGGCCCCGGGATGACCTTGGACCTGAAGGAGCACCTAGAACTCTCTCTGTTTTTTTTTTTTTTTAAATTTTTAAAAATTTTTTAAATTTTTGTCTTTTGAGACAGGGTCTCACTATGCAGTTCAGGCTGAGTTTAAGCTCACTTTGTAGCCCAGGCTGGCCTTGAACTCAGAACGATCCTCCTGCCTCGGCCTCCCAAGTTCTGGGATTATAGGCATGCGCCACCACGCCCGGCTTTCTCTGTCTTTAGAACTGCTTGTCTCTTGCTGTCATTTCTTTCTTTTTTGTTGCTTTTTCTTTTTTTTTTTTTTAATGAGGAATTGAACTCAGGACCTTGAGCTTACCAGGCAGGCACTGTGCCACTGAACTATATCCTCGGCCCTCTTGCTATCATTTCTGAGTTGCTCATTTCCTGGCCTTGAAACTTAGTGCACTTCACGCCCCTGCGCTGTCAATTCTCTGTTGCCTTCTGGCCGGTGGATGGCACAGGCCAGGTGGGTACAGGGCTCCTTCCTCCAGCAGGTGCTGGAGCAGATGCGTGGGCTGAGGCAGCCTGCACTGCTTATTCTGTGGCTGGACTTTTCCTCCAAGAGTCTATCTGAGGGCTCAGATGCAGGTGAGGGTGTTTCTACAGATCTTGTATCTTGTGTAAAGGCAGAACAAACCACACTACTATGGGATAAGACACCACTGTCTGGCGTTTCTGTTCCAAAGGACGTCAAGGAGCAACAGCAGTAGCAACAAGCTGCTGCCTGACTAATGAATGTCGGCTGAATGGGCTGTGGTCAGCGTCCTGCCTGAAGGTCTGTGGGAGCCCAGTGACTAGAATGAAGAAGTAGATAAACCTAGTGAAGCCTAAACAATAGCTGGGTCCAGAGGCCAAAAGCGTTGTGGTCTCAGTAGCTCACAAACAGTGAGGTCTTGGGAACCGCCTCTACAGACGCTCATGTATTCAGATTTCATCTCCAGGTGGAACCTTCTGCACCAAGGGAAAAGGATCAGACTTCAGTGAAGGCTGTGCTGGAGTTCTCAGTGGTGATAGCAGCCTACCCATACTATTTTGAATGAAATAATTTCTCTTTTAGGGCTGTATAGTATTGCATATTTTTTCTTTATGTCTTCACCCACTAATGGACAGTAGAGATGTTTGTATATTTTGGCTGTTTTGAATAATGCTGCAATAGACAAGGGAGTACAGATGTCTCTTTGACACACCAACTTAAATTTCTTTGCATTTAAACCCATAAGAGAGATTGCTTGAGACTGTGGCAGTTTTATTTTCAGTTTTCTTCAGGAATCATCGTATTGTTTTCCAAAATAGCTTTAGTAATGTACATTCCTACCAACGGTCCACAAAAATTCTCTTTTTTCCCACATGCCCCTTCTATGCTTTTTTTTTTTTTTTTTGAGACAGGGTCTCACTGTTCAGGGTCAGGTTGGTCTTGAACTCTTGAACTCACTATGTAGCCCATGTTGGCCCAAACTCATGGTGATGGAAGTGCTAAGATTATAGGTGTATGCCACTGTGCCCAGCACTATGCTTTTGCATTGTTTTAATGAAAAAGCAAAAACACAAAGTAAATCTGTGTTGGAAGACAGTCCCTGGAGCAAGGCGGATCTCCTTGGGTCAGAACTTTCACCTGTTTGAGGTCAGCCAGCTTGATGGGCCGCTCTGATGCAGTGAAACTCAAAAATTAATCACTGTGTGTTACAAATAGAAACTAGAAAAATTTGAGTTGAATAACAAGGGAACTTTAGGAGCTTTGGCTTTGGGGCACAGCTTGCTCCCTATTGGAAGTTCAAGATTTGGGGACAGCTGGATAGGGAAGAAACAGAGCAATATGTGACAGTTAATCTTTTTTTTTTTTTTTTTTTTTTTTTTGTCTTTCTGAGACAGGGTCTCCCTATGCAGTTCAGGCTGGCCTTGAGCTCACTTTATAGCACAGGCTGGCCTTGAACTTGCAACAATCCTCCTGCCTCAGCCTCCCGATGTGATGGTTAATCTTGATTGCCAACCTGACTGGAGTGAGCAATGCTGACAATCTGTAACACCCACTCCTGGGGTGTCTGTGAGGGCGTCTCCAGAGGTGGTTGGCATATGGACAGCAAAGTGACCGGGGAGACCCCTGGATGCAGGCAGCACCGTCGAATTGGCTGGGGGCCTGGGTGAACTGAAAGCAGCAGCAGAAGGAAGCCCAGCAGTCAGTTTCTCTCCTCTCTCCTGGCCACCGTGGCACCAGCAGCTTTGCTCCACCAAACCCGCCCATCATGAACTCCTGGCCAGAAACAGTGGAGCCAGCTTGGTGTCAGCTTGGGCTAAAACCTTTGAAATGTTGAGGCAAAGTAAAGGTTTCCTTCTTTAAGTGGATTCTCTCAGGTGTTTTGTCACAGTGGCAGAAAGCTGACTGACACCCAAACCATTACACATAAAATATCACCTTCTGGAAATAAAGAATAAGTCAAATGAAGCTACCAGTCCATCAATAAATATTTCTGAGGGCCTTTTACATGCAGAAAATATCCCTGCTCTTAAGAAACTTGCTGTCACATGGAGAAGACAACTGTAAGTGAGGTAGGTGGACAGCTGGCTATGTAGCAGGAGGGGTGTGACACTACATAATTTCCAGACAAAGCAAGCACTATAGATTTTCAGAGAGAAAGAAATTACTATGGATTGACATGCTCAGGAAAACATTAGAGAGGAGGTAAAGCTTGAGGGAGGCATTGAAAGACGATTAATATCCAGACAGTATAAAAAAGAATACAGTATATTTCAGGCAAGAGAAGAAAGAGCCATGCACAGAGACATGCTGGTTGGATAGGAAAGAAATAGCACAAACATGTGATGGTTCAGTGATAGGTGTTTCTGGAGGCCGCAGAGTGTGCTGGCCGCTAGGGCTGGGGTGTTACCCCAGCTCATCTGATCAGACCCTTGCTCCCGATTCTCTCCTTCCCTGAACCACAATGTGCCCGAGATCTGCATCAAGTGACAGGGCAGTAACATCGCCTAGAATGCAAGGAGCTTATTTCTTTGCTTCTCTTATGTTGGAGGTGGCTTGTTAGACTTGCTTTGCCCAACAGCGTGGGAGGAAAGGACAAGGAATCAGTTGTGAGCAGAGAACTTGAGAAGCAATGTTTTCCCTTTCATCTGCACTCTTGCCATTCAAGAGAAGAATCGTCACAGGTATAGCTGTCTAGGGACAGTGAGAGACACAGCACTACCTGAATCGGACTCATGTTCTGGAGCCCAGCACAGGTGATCTGCAGACCCAGGACAGAGGAAATGTGTGTTGGTGTGAGGCACCAGAGGTCTGAGGTTTTTCTCTTTTTTTTTTTTGAGACAGGGTCTTGCTATGTAGTGTAGGCTAGCTTTGAACTCATTATGTAGCCCAGGTTGGCCTCAAACCTGTGGTGCTCCTCCTGCCTCAGCCTCCCAAGTACTGGGATTACAGGCATGCACCAGTATGCCAGGCTACTGAGGCTTGTTTTTATGCATCTAACTGTGACAAATATGCACCTTCGCACTGGTTGGTGAGAGGACCCAGTTCACCATGGCTAGGGGTGGGCCTTTCTTTAACACTGGAGTCCATCGTGGGAACCACCAACGTGGTTACTATGTGCCTTTCCTTCCAGCTGGGGCTGGCCCTGAAGGTTAGGCCAGCCAAGACAGCTGGAGGGAGGCCGGGAGGGA